TTTTTTTTTTTTTTTTTTTTTTTTTTTTTTTTTTTTTTTTTTTTTTTTTTTTTTTTTTTTTTTTTTTTTTTTTTTCTTTTAGATAGGTGTATTATTACCTAAGGTGCCTTGAAGAAGGGCCTCGACCTCTCTTTAGCTCCTTGGCCATATGAAAATCTCGAGTGTGGAACGGATGATCTTAATGAGCACACAAGAATCGAATAAATTCGTGTTCTAATAACGTTGTCTCTGTTTAACAGTGATTCGTACGTTCCGTGTAACCGAATACGTAAATGATTTTATATCACGAAACTATATTTAACGTGACAGTGATGATAAAAATTTTTATTAAATTTAATTCTTCAAATTGGGAAAATTGGTAAATGTTTGAAATTCTACAGGATTAACTTAACGATATTGAAAAATTGGAAAACCTATAAACCTTTTTGTAATATTAATTTGTCATTGGGAAATCTTTAAAATTCTTTATTGGAATATTGGAAAATTCCTCAGAGTTCTGCACAAATTAACTCGCCAAGAAGCTTTCTCTAATAACGAATTGACTCGCATCATTCTCATTCTGTCCTACTTTTGCAAAACAGCGATACAAAACGTCATACGTTCTACCGTAATATTCGAAATTTTAAAAAATCGCATTAAATGTCGCAGGTATTACGGTTCTTAGGGCTCGAGATATTAAAAAAGTTGCAAGTCGAAATTGTACTTGAAAAATCGACAAAGATCGTTCGTTCCATTTGCGTCGACCATTCTCGCCCTCGCAAAGCGGGCACGGGAACGTAAGAAGAGGTTAGAGGGGTGGTGTGCGCTCTCATTAAGCCAGGCAGAAATGGCCAGCACAAAACAGTGAATGCAATGTGATACTAAATGATAATAAAGATAAAGATAATTATTGTTTAGCGTGCGACGTTTCAGCGATGCGCACGACCGCGACTCGTAGCTCTTTCAAATAAAAAGGAACAAAGGAGAAAAAGAACTCTTTCGATCGCGAGGAGGAAGAAGCTAACAGACGATCCTTTCTTTTTTTTTTTTTTTTTTTTTTTTTTTTTTTTTTTTGTTTTTTTTTTCTTCTGCGAGCCGCCTAAATAATTCTTCTTAGTAACTAACTGTTTCGTCGTTTCTCTGTCCAACCCTCTCCCCCCTGAAAACCCTTTCCGAAAAACCCCCTCGTCCCCTCTTCTCGAGACGTAAGCGCACTAGGATTACGTATACAGATTATTTTATTGTTAATTAGTTACGTTTATCGTGTATACACACACATACACACACACACACCCACACGTGCGTACACATTCGCGACCAGATGTCCCAAGAAGGCATTTTTCTTCCTATAGAAAAGTATTTTGTGTCAAGTTTTTAACTTTACTCTCGACTAACGTTAATCACTCACGAGAAAGACTTTATTTAGTCGTTTAACCGGCGAACGACGAGTTAATTCGTCATCGCTTGTTAAATGGTTGTGAAAATAATGGCGAACGCGTTAGGAGGAATAATAAAACTCGTAAATATAAAATTGACGGCAATATTATTTATGATATTATTAATAATCGAATTATATAATGTATATCGTTATATATATTATTGTAATTGTATTAATAACCGTATTATTAATATTATTTGTGATATTGCCAATAATATTATTTATCAATTACGCGTAGATAATATTATTCTCAAAATCGAAGTTTATGTAAAAAGAAACGCGGTTATTCTCGTCCGTCGTGAAGTCATTATAAATTGATGATTGTTGAAATAATCATTACCATGCTGCGCGTTACTTTGTCATTCTTTAAAAACGTTAATTTTGATTGAGGATCATTGTTCTTCGGACATCTGGTCAGAGTTTCGTAGAGTTTAAGCATCTTCCGAGCGGAGAACGTTTTCCGCGTGCTTTCTTAGTGTTCATAGATTTACAAGAAATAAATTAATTCAGATGAGAAATCTGAGAATGATAAACAAGCGAGCGAAAACTTGGCTCATCAATATCCTTTCAATTTCCTTTCAAGATAAGTCAGACATCGGCTCTGAGGTCCTCGGGGAAATTCTTTTTTATTATTTGCTAATTAATCTTTGAACAGTATTGTTGAGTCACGGATGACTCTGGTAATTTCTGTTCGAATTTTATTGTTAAAATTTGGGATAATTGATTTTTTGTTTTCATATTCGCATTCTTCATAATAGAAATTAGCATGTAGGTAATAAAATTTAATTAAATTAAAAATTCTAAATTTAATTGAAAATTTTTGTCTTCAATGTCCAAATAGTACCAGGTAGAAGTTAATCTTTTAGTGCTAAAAACTTTGAAATGAAAAAAAGAAGCATTTTGTATATCGAGATAATGTTCATTCTTTGTTGAATTTAAAATTTTAATCAGCATAGAGCTCTAGTTTTCACTTTAACTTTCAATTAAGTAGAATGATGCTACATAAGAAAGATAAATCGGAAATATAAAATGAAATTTTTTTTTCACACAACGCTTCGTTCTCGAGAAAATCAACTTTGAACATTTCTTAAGTATACTTGAATTAAACTGGTGTGAATAATCGACGGAAGATTACTCTATGTACGAAAATAAGTGAGAAATGTAGAATAATGTTTATGAAGAGAATTAAATTTAAAAATTCACCGAGTTACACGTGTGCAGTTACACTAATGCAATTTTTAACGAAATTCAAAATCTATTTTCTTGAAAATAAAACGAGACCTGTATTTTTCATTTAGTTTTAACGAAATATATATTCAACGTGTATTTCCTTGAAAACGAGACTTCAAACAAAAAAATTTTATTCTCTATTTACTTCACTTATTTTGGAGTATCCTCGTGTCAAACACAAAATTAACCAAATTAAAGTATGCAAATTTATACAAATTTTCAAACTTAGAAATGACTTTTCGAAAACAAAGCCTCGACCGTTACTCTTTTTTTTTTCAATTTCTAGTTTCACATGCCCTCTCCATGAAAGATAGGACACATTTTCTTTTTGTTTCTAGAAACAATAAATACGAAATAAATACGATTTTAATTGGTAAAAGTTCAATGAAGAAGTTCAGAATATTTCAAACAAGATCACATATGATTTGATTGGGTGAGTATATTTCATATATGATTTGATTGGGTAAGTATAGTACATACGAGAAGAAATTAATGAAAGAGCTATTGTCATGAAGTCGCTGAAGATTCTAAACATCAATATTCGATCATTTATAAAAAATTAGTACCTCAACTCTTTGCTCGATATCATTGTGCTCTAAAAATCTTGATTAATATAAACATTTGTTACAATCAAAATTATGTGATTAAATATTGCAATTAGACTGCGAATTTTTATGCATTTATAAGAAACTTGAAAATCAAGCATCATTATACAAAAATATACAAATATTGAAAGTGGAATATTCGTTGTGGTATTATAATTTTCTCTAGTGAAAAGAAATTTCTATCTATGCTTCATTTCTTTAACAGTCGTATGTTTACTCTTAGCCATCAAAGCAAAAAATCACTCTGATTACACATTATATTAATTATAAGTGGAAGTAGATCGAAAACACGTAAGATTCTTAATAGGACATGAAAAGTTTTATTTTAATAGATTATAATATTTTAAATTAAATGAACTAGCACATTTGCAGACATTTTTTCTTGAGATAATATTTTATAAAGTTTAGATGTTCTCGTGGTGGAATAATTTGTTAACGATTTTCTCCTGAATGGAAATATTTTCAAAATTAGAAAGTGCACTGACCTCGAATAAAAAAGAAAGGTTTAACAGCAAGCAACGTATATTATGCTTCAACCAAAACGTTACTGATTACTTTCATAATACAAATTTGAAAATCAAAATCTTACGATGATGTAGTGTAACATGTAATTCTTAAAAATAAATTACATTTACATCACCAGTGTTTATTAAATAAATGAATATCTGCAAATTAAATAAATTAAATAAACTAACACAATTATAAATAGTTAATTGCATAAACGTAACAATAACAATAATTTTTGTAAAAATCCACAGTCCAATTGTGACCAAATCCATTTCTTAACTAGATGCAATATAAATTGATCGGAATGTTCATCGTGTTTTATAAATAAATTTTTGTACAGAGAATGATTGATATACACGTTCCAGTGAAGAAAAGTAATGTCCCAGTGATGTTTATCGAAATTGTCCATAGCGGTTTCTCCGCTCGTAGACCTATTGGTCTGTAGTTAAAGGAATATCTACTTCAAACTAACGGTTCGATGACCAAGGATTTCATACAAAAAGAAACCTCGTTGAAAAACCCGTTACTGGCGAGCCACGATTAAGAATGGTGGTATATGCTAAACGCTGTCGTTTAGCGTCGTAGACAGTGTCGATTGCATAATTGCAACGCGATAAGTAACAGCCGGTTCTTGTTTTGTTTCGAGAAGGGAAACTCGGGTACGTTTACCATCCACTTGCTCCATTTGCGAACATAAATACAGATTAACAACGAAAGGTCGAGGTTGCTGAAACCGGCTTCGTGAATGACTGCAAGAAGAGGAACAACACCATCAGAGACATAAGTTTCACAATCGTGTATTCCGAGATGCTGGCGATCTCGGTCTGCTGAGCGAACGAGTTAATTGGTTGAAAATAATCAACAGAAGAAACATGTATCCAAGTCAGAATAAGCGAGTGAGTAAATTGGATGTAAAATATTTGTACGTTCTTTCGACGAAAACGGACGTTTTCCATCCAATTTCATTTTTGAGTAATTATATAAATATCTAAAACCTTTTAATATAATATTTTAATATGTAATATATATACAATGTAATATAATAATAATATAAATAATATATTATATTATTATATTATATAATAAAATAAAATCTACATGTATTATATAATAAAATAAATTCTACACTGTTATATTCTTTACAATTATCATGATTAATGAAATTTCAGAAACAATAAGCAATATTTAAGATACAATGTATGTATAAAAATATAAAACCCTATATTTCTCTATAATTTTACATTATTATATTCCCTACAATATAATTTTATATGTAATTTGATAATTTAATATTTTTATAGTATACAATTCCACATTCATAATTCTGCAAATAAATAAACATTCTTTTCAGAATATTCTATATCTTTTTATAATACCAAAATTTTAATTAATTATATACTGCTGTTAATGATAATTGTTAGTTAAATTAAACTACGAATTTCCTCTCTGTAACAACAATTATCATCTAAAATATAATAATCGACATCCAGAACATTCATGCAGTTTACAAAAGAATTGTATACTTAAATGTGAAATTCTGTATTTTTATCTAATCCTACGTTATTCTATTCTCTATAATATGATATTATATAAATATATAATTTAATAATTCAATCTATATAATTCCTGAATATATATACATATATATATATATTTTTTTTAACAAATTTTATTGAAATTTTATTGTCATAGCATAATATTTTAATACGACGTATTCTCAATACAATAATGAATTTCCATACATTAATATTAATATTAGTACCAATAGTAGTACTGCTAACACTATTACCAATAATAACTGTGAAATTAATTAAATCACCCATCATATTATTATAACATAATATCTTAATACGACGTAATCTCAATAGAATAATGAATTTCCATTCATTAATATTACTACTCCTATTACTACTAATTACCAATAATAATTGTGAAATTAATTAAACTAAACTGCCTATCAATAACAACAATTATATTATTTAAACAATATATTATTGTAACAATATTATTTAAACAATTATATTAATTGTTATTATTTAAACAAATACTTAAATAACAATTATATTATTTGTTATATTATATATTATTTATTATTTAAACAATTATATTACTTATTATATTATTTAAACAATTATATTATATATTATATTATTTAAACAATATATTATTGCAACAATTATATTATTTAAACAATGATCGATATTCAGAAAATTGAGCTAGCTCGTGGCCGTTACAGTAGCTACGCCTCGATCAAAGAAATCTTGGCACCGATCCAGCCAACAAAGGTCTCTTCTTCATCGTTCAGAAGTACCGTTTCTTCCGAAGAAATTGCATAATGGAGCCTGCATCGGACTTCTCTCGGCGAGTCGTCGGCAACCACCTCGTGTGTTGAACTTTCTTGCCGAGAAGTCGTCTAACAACATTGACCAATGACCATCGTCTGGTGACCAGATTCTGGGGCCACCGAGAGTACCGTAAGAATATTCACGTGTTGGTAAAACAGAGGGGGGTAGTGGCCGGTCAACGCTCTTACCTGGTTAATGTATATAAGAGACACGGTTTGAACGATGTTCACGGCAGATCGACGGTAGACATGTTCGGCAAGATAGTTTTGATCCTTTCGGCTTTGGCTTTGGTTAGGGGCCAGATACCTAGCCTGGGTTTCTGCCCAGATTACATACCGATGGCCAACTTTGACATGAACAAGGTAAACACGATCGATCGAATATGTTGAAAGTGAGAAATTTATACTAAAAAAGTGCACTGTACGACGTCAAATCAGCAATTGTAACTTGGTTCATATAGACTAGATATAGACTGTGAAGGTGAAGATTAAAAATTTGCTTGACGTGCATTGAAAATTTATTTCCAACAATTGTAACTTAATCTGTGTTTCCCAGGAGAATTAAAAACTTTCCCTTGCTCTGAATTTGCTCTGCTAATAATTATAATTCGTTGTAATTTGTATTTCAATTGGTGTTACGTTGGTTCTAAATATTTACTCTATTAATAATTATAATTTAATCTGTATGTTTTAAAGTTAAAATAACAAAAAGTTTATTTTATGTTACATTCGTTTTGTATATATTATTAAATTGTACTGTTATTGTTAACATTATAATATTAATGTGAGGACGGATTTTTCTTTTACATCATACATTAAATAATTCGTCTTTTCTATGTCTAATATATTATATATTATATTATATATTACATTATATTATAATATTATATTGTATATTATATTACATTATAATATTATATTATATATTATAATATATCTAGGGATGATATTCTGTGATAGTTTGATATTTTAAGTACCAACGTTACAGTTTCAAAATACTTTAATTATTAGAAGTTTATTACTCAATGTTCATGTTGTATGAACAATAATTAATATTTTTCGTGGAGTTTTTATTACTTAACGCTATATAAAATAACTAAAATGACCAGTTCGTAACTTTTCATAGGAATTTAATAGATTTGCGATGATGCGTATTTAAAATTTTTTTTCAAAATATATAAATAAAAGTTTAATATTCTATTTTAAATATATATGTATTATATATATTAATGTATGAATATATTTTACATGTTTTTTATATTTTAATTGTCACTGACTTTAGTGTTGAATCTTTATCTGTTTTTATCTTAATTGATATTAAATATTAAGAAATGTTTTGTGCAATTATTTTCGTTGTTTTCCAGTTTCTAGGTATCTGGTTTGAAGCTGAAAGGTACTTCCAACTGACAGAAGTAGTATCGCGATGCGTAATGGTAAATTATTCGCTGGGTTCTGATGGTAAATTTCGTGTCACCAATGAAGTTACAAATAGATTGTAAGTATGTTCAGTAGATTGTTTTGTGTTTGAGAAAGTTCAAAAAATTTATTGTTAAACTGTTACTAATAGTAATATATTTTGTATATATTATTAAATTGTACTGTTACTGTTAAAATTATAATATTAATGTGAGAATGGATTTTTCTTTTACAACATTCATCAAATAATTCGTTTTTTGTATTGTCTAATATGTTATATATTATATGTCTTTTGACTAATATATCATATATTTTATGTCTCATATATTATATATTATAATATATATCTAATATTGCTAATATAATATATGATTAATATATTATATATATTAATCATATATTATATTATGACTAATATATTATATATTTATGTCTAATATATTATATATTATAATATTAGAATATTATATTATATATTATAATATATTCTCATATATATTATATATTAATATATTCTCATATATTATAATGTCTCATATTCCTAGGAATGTTTAAAGTTATACTATGGTATTTAAAAATACAACTCTTATTTATTACTATTAAACAATAATAATAAGTATTTATTATTTGTTCTTCTTACATCGTTCTTTGATTATTAATTTTTAATTAAATTTATAAAAAAAAACATTCAGCACGGGAATCAAAAGAGTATTAGAGGGTGAGATCAAGAAAGCTGCCTCAAAAGCCGAAGAAGGAAAACTTACTGTGAAATATTCATTGCCATTGAGTCCTGAAACTAAGTATTCAGTGCTTGAAACAGATTACGATAATTATGCGGTTCTGTGGAGTTGTTCTGGTATTGGTCCATTCCGCACACAAAATGCCTGGGTTATGACAAGAGAGAGACAAGCACCAGGAACAGTCTTACAAAAGGTAAATTTTACTTTATTTTATATGCATTGAAACCTAATCTATTTGTATTTATATTTGTTTACATATCTTTCAAATTCTTCTTCTCTTTAATTTATTAAATATCTTAATATTAATATTTACATTTCTATTTATTATATATATATATTTAAAGTTGGCGTAGTTATCTCAATATTAATATTTGCACTTGCATTTATTATTGAAGTAAATATTATTAAAATTAATAATTGAAAATTTAAATTAAATTAAAATAAAGTGTCGATCAAAAATTTAGATACACTTTTATTGCATTTATATTCCATACTTAATTTAATGTTTCGTTACATTCCTATATATTATCTGATTATATTATACGAACGTATTCTTTATATAGTAATACTAAAATAATCTGGGTAAGGAAATCAATTGATCAATAGTGTATATTATAACTTAATAATAATCATAATAAATTTATAAATACATAAATGTTCAGAATGAATTTATCATACAAAAATATATAAAATATCTCACATAGAGTATTCATTACAATTTTTATCAAATAAAACAAATCTCTAAGTTCTGTTTCTTTAACCGTAGACATAGAATAAATTTGCATAAATATCCGCTATTAATAAGATACTAACATTATCGGATTTCTATTTTTAATTAACAAAATTAGATGTGTATTATTTTTATTTTCGTAGTAATAATTAGAAATTTTTTTAACCATTAAAAATTATAAAAATTTAAAAATTATAAAATTATAATGTTAACTATTATAATGTTAAACTATAATGTGAAATAAGAATAACGAAAATAACGTAAAACACACTGTCAAATAGGCATACGCAGTCCTGGACAAATACCAGATATCCAAAATGTTCTTCGTAAAAACAGACCAAGAAGACTGCGCCTACTTAGAAGCGTCAGCAGCACAAAACGATCAGACTTCCGAAGAAGCTCCACAGAGAGACACCGAAAACGTCAGAACCGCTTTAACATCAGACGCAGCAGAAGCTACGCTCGAAATGAAGAACACAAAAGAAAACGAGAAGCAACCACAAATCATCGAAAATCCGAAGAAGAAACCTATTAACACAGTTCCCGAACGAATCATGGAAGTGGCTGACACTGTGCAACAAGATGCGCCAATGAACGGCGAAAAAATAAAAAATGAGAATATCAGCGAGGCTACGTCAGAGAAAATGGATGAAAATGTGAAACAAGCGGGCACCACCGCGTGAAAATGAAACGTAAAGATGAGAATTTCAATTCATTTCATTGGGGAGATATCGTGTAGATTAGTTGAGTCTCGGGCTTGTACTCGGTTTTGTTCTGTCGAAACCAGACTCGCCTGAGTTTCGCGTTCATTATCCATCGCACTTTAAAAAAGGACTGCCACTTTCATGATTCACAGAGGGATAGGAGGGGTATTTGTTTTTACTCATGTACAAATGTAAAAAAGAAAAAAAAAGAAAACAAAGTTTAAATAAATTGTTACATAAAACACTGCTGTGAAATTCTGTTGCATTTATGATTTATCCAGCTTCGGTTATCAGTAAATCGTTGAAGAAGATATGAAGGAGAAAGTTGCGATTAAATATTTTGTTTAAATAAAATATACGTTCTTGGATACATGTATTATTATTATTTAATTATATTCAGTACTTAATTTTATGTAATGAAGTAATGCCTAATATTAATGAAAAAAAGTTAAATAAAATTACTAGGTAATATTTAACTTTATGTTCATGTTGATTTAATTATTTATAAAAATAGATAAAACGATAACAAGAACATTAACGAACAAATATTTTCATTACTCACTTATTTATTATTACTATATGTCATAATTTTTTGTTTAATTCGTTCCAAATACTTTAATTTTACATTTATAAAGAAAAACAGTAACAGATTAAAAATAAATGGAAAAGTATAATAATTCCATTATTATTATAATATATATATATATATATATAATAGATATGATACGCGACGATACATATTAAGTAATACTTAATACAATGTATTTTGTTATTATTATAGAAGAATAATACAAAGTTTTATATCAAAAAGAAATAATTCTTCAAATTTAAAGAAAGCTAATAATATGTAATAATAACATATATTATAGTAATATAATAATAATAATATAATAATATTTTATTGCACTTAATTTCATTTACTATATATGGTACCATATTATTCAAATCCACTAGTTTAACCAAAATGTGTCGAAGCATTGTCCAGCAAATTCAAATAGAGATGAATTTAAATAAACTCACATCATCAGATAAAAGTAATCACGTCTTACTATAATGCACCGTTTTTTTTTTTCTAATGACTCAAAAAAAATACAAGTAATCATTCAACATACCACATATCATTTTCATATCTTAAATGAATCACAATACAACCATACGAATGTACGAATTTGTTTTTCTAAAAGATGCTTGCCTAAAGTTTCTAGAACTTGCGTGAGATTCATCCTGTCGAAATTAAATCAGGAAAGAAGAATTAGCCGATTAGCCGCCGGTAAATTCAAGCCATAAGTCTGGGGTTTCTTGAACCTCCAGCGTACCGTTAGTGACCCACTAACTGACAGAAATCTTTCGAACGCATCCAGTCAGCCTTCACGATTCGTGTCTCTGCGTAAGCAGGAAGGTGCAAAGAACTGGGAAGTCCAGTCACTGGCGAACAGTTGATCGTGTGAGAAGTGTCACTGTCAACCCCGATCAGTTTTTCCAGTTGTCAAGATTCAGCGTGAACGACGATTGTCAATTCGGTACGTGTCCCATTCAAATCAATTCAACTCGTGACTCTCATAATTTTTGGCTGATCGCAATCAAAGATCACGGTGTTCTTCCGTTTGTATGCGTCGCACATAGAGAGATGATGCGAAACTGGCGCACGAATGCGCGTATATATTATCGTCCAAACGTTTGAAATATAGTGGTCTATAATGGAAATTTAATAGCTCAGTTATTCAAAGAAAAATAATGATTCATTCGTTTACAGATTACTCAGAGTCATTTTTCTTTTGATTTGTTAAGAGCACAGTGTTGTTGCATTAATTAACACAATTTTCCATTCGCAACATTTTTTCCATTTAATTTAATTCTGTTTTTAACATGGTTGAAAATATTCCTTAATATCTTGTTTCAATTATGAAATTTAAAGAAATTTATATAATGTTATGATGTAATGTTACTAAACGGTTAATATATCTTTGAAATGGGATATTTCAATATTTTCATAAGATTAAATATTCTTAGTTATTGCTCCTTTTATTACTAAACTTTTATACAATGAAAGATAAACTAGCCGTTGCTCCTTTTATTATTAAAATTTTATACAATGAAAGATAAACTGAAAAAATAATTAATTTTTTATCTTCTGCTTCTATTTAAGGAAATTATTAATTATAATAATAATAAATTATTAATTTTTAGTTATTATAGCTGAATTATTAAATTTCAATCTTGACTCACTGTGTGCACTATATTAGTATTGCATAAAATTATATTCGTTTGACGCATGAGATTATGATATTGATCTTTTAAATACTCATTAAAATTATCAAAAGTCAAACAAATATAACAAATTATTTTCATCCTTAAATATATATATATCTTGATATATTCATTTGGTATATTATGTAATATGTTGTCCTCTTTGAATCTCTATTAAATAAATTATTATTTTTAGAATACTATCATTATGGGACTCTATGGATGCTGATATGTATTTATTTATAATTTGTTTTTTATTATTATAATGTATTTTAGTAAAGATTGTTTAAATTAAGTAAGATCATTCATATCTGTTTCACTTATTGTTTATAAAATGTCGATATTTCAAAACGAAAATACACCGTTTCAAAGATGGAAAAAGCCTTTCCTTAAATTCAGTATTTTTTACGAAATTCATGATTATGAATACGTTTCAAATGAAAGTTTATATTTTCTTATATATCAATTGGTCAAACATTTTATTTTTTATACAGAAATATTAGATTACTTATATCAGAAAATATTTACTTGAAAGATGTTTCTGATTTTGATTTCATCAAACTTTATTAATTACTACAGACAACAAATTATACATATTTTATTTTAATTAATAATTATTATTATTAATTATCATAATTTAATACAAGGTAGAGTAAAATAAATATATACAAAAAAAATTATTATTGTATGCCCCCTAAAGTATAATATTTTTTAAAGTAAATATTTTCAGGAACAAATATTTCAATATACTTTGGTGTAGACAATTAAAAACACGAACAGTAGTAAATAACACAAATATTTATACGATCCCACTTCAGTGAAACACTCTTTATTATACAAAGACATATTTACAGAAGAGATAATGTTGCGGATATATTTACTTATAATCATCGCAAGTGCTGTGACAGCACAGGTACCATTCTTGGGTTCGTGCCCCAACGTGGAAACCACACAGAACTTCGATATGAAAAGGGTACGTACGATAACAACACGTTTCGAAGTTTATTACGTTTATACTAGAAACTAGAATAGATTTCTTGTACATACCTGTGTTATTGACTTACTTATAAAGCAATGCAACCTGCATTTAGAAAGTTGTCCTCGATAGGACATTGATATACATGCGATGTAACGAGCGATATGTAAAGTGTTCAAGTTCAAAGATGGCTTAGCTTAGACTTTCTTTGAAGTGTATGTCATTTCGGTAAATGTGCGTGTTCCATTGTTTTCTAGTATTTGGGAAAGTGGTATGAGATCGAGAAGTACTTTGCATTCTTCGAGTTCGGTGGAAAATGCGTGACTGCTACTTTCAATATAACGGACGACAGCAACTCGATCAACATTTTGAATAAGCAGATATCTTCTTTGTGAGTATAGTCAATAGTTATTTTTTATTACTTTTTCTACTTGTATTTTTTTTTTTTTTTTTTTTTTTTAAAGAACAGTTACGAAAAGATGTTTATAGATGTTTATGTGTCTTAAATGTGCAAAAGCACAATATGGTATTTATGCAAGTGAAATGTGTAATTTTATTTATATTTATTAATATGATAATAGAAAAGATAATAGAGTTTAATACTTGAAATATCAATCCATATTAATTAAAAAAATTATTAAGAATTGTTGGTTTTGTAGATATTTTAACTTTTGTAGATATTTTAATTTTATAAGATCTATTGCATGAAAGACAAGGACAATATGAACACAAGGATAAATTTTACAAGATTAAAATAAGTATCTTCTGATAAGTTTTCAATATATATAGATTAATAAGAAGAAAATGTCGAGTTGTATTGATTAATGGATAAAAATATATATATAATCTTCATATTTTAATAAAAAAAAAAGCAAAGTACCAACAAAAGCAATTACAGCGTTTGGAAACTATGTAATTCTTGTTTGAAACATTTTTCTCTATAATGAATAATTTACGAGCCATTTTACATTACGAAATTCATATTGTGAAATATTTATATTTGAAATGTAATTAATTATATTTATACGAAACTAATTAATTATATTTAAACATGAAATTTACAATCAGATTTAGAAATGAAAAAATTCATTTCATCTAAAAAAAAAAAAAATAGAATGTTCCAAATTTTAGAACGAGGATACGTACGAAATATGAAATATGTTTTTGCATGTTTCTAAATATAAATATATAAAAAAACATGCATTATAATTACGAAATCTACATGTTTTCATAATTTTCTAATCGTATAATTAATTTTTATGTAGGTTTCATTTCTCTACTCCTAAGTACAGATTTTATTTATTCTATGCATTTATATTAGCTGTAATGTAAATAGAAATAATTATTAAAATATAAAAAACATTACATAATTAATAATGAAGTAATTCGATAAAATTAAATTCGATAAATTGTTAAGCAGAGAAAAGTGATGTTCTTTAAATTAACTTTAGAATCATTATTTACGTAATCATTTTGCAATAAATATACTCATAAGAGTAAGTAATTTATTTCTTGAGAATTAAACAATAATCGTGTGCTGTTGTTTGCGTTATTCGTATAGATTTTCAAAAAGTGGAGTTGATCAGTTTAACTTCCGGGAAGCTCATATTTTTATTATTTATTTAGGACTGGAGTTTCTTCAAGTATCGAAGGTGTTGGGAAACCTGTTCTTAAAGTGGAAGAAGCAAAATTGAGTGTTTCGTTCCCGAGTATGCCTCTTCCAATAGATGCACCTTATTGGATTCTTGATACCGACTATACAACTTATGCAGTCGTATGGAGTTGTTCGAATTTCGGTGTGTTCAGGTAAATATTCAGAAAAGCAAGATGTAATAAACGTAGTTCATACATTTAATTGTCAAACAACAATTTTTATTTCAAAACAACAATTATTTCTTCGTATGAAGATCATATGATGAAAAATACAAGTCACATGTCAATTTTAAAATTCAACATATTACCAATCAATTCTACATTAAGATTATCATTTTACTTGATTGTTGTATTAAATGTTTTTATTAATATTACTAATATGAATGCTTTTTCTGATTGATTTCTTTATTCGATTGTTATATTAAATATTTCATTTCTTTGATTGTTGTACGTTTTATCAATATTATTAAAATGTATTATAAAATGTTAAAATATTAAATGTTAAAAAACACTTTGTTGCTCTCTTGAATATTTGAAAGCATTAACTAATATAAAATAATATAAAACATCAGTTAATTGTATAGCTTACTATTAAATAAATTAAATTAACATAATGTTTATCAACATTGATACGTCCGTATGAAAAATTAGATTTATATTTTCGAATCTATTAAAATATTCCCCTTCACAATTAATACTGGTGATATAACAAAATATTATACTGCTTACCATATCGTATGATCTTCATACTTTATTACTGTTTTTTAAATGAATTCATTGTTTACAAGTTCGTTATTAATAATAGATTATAAGTATTAAAAGTTATTAAAATTATTAAATTTATTAATGTAATTTAATGTGTAATAACAAGAGAGAATTATAATCAATTATAATCAATGTTGTATACATTTCAGTACGAGGAACGTCTGGATTTTAGCAAGAGAACCAAAGCCACCGGTTTCTGTTTTAGAAAAAGCTTATCAGATATTGGATAAAAATAATATAAGTAGAGCGTATTTCATTCGTACAGATCAGAAGAACTGTCCTATAGGGAACTGAATAATAATAATATTTCATTAAATATCAAAGCACATTTATTTCGTTCAAAACAGCGTAGTTTTGTTTCATTGTAAAATACATTATGACGTATCTTTGAAGTCAATAGGTTTTGAAAATCACCAATTCCTGTGACTGTACGTTCAATCTGATCCGTGATCATTTAGTTATTGATCTTTAGCTGTAATGTGAAATGCATGTGATTTACTTTATTGATCGTTCATAAAGAAAATTAGTAATTTGGATACAATTATTTATATTCGTTAATTTTATAGAATCAAACAAGTTTTTAATGCTTTTGATATTTGACTTAACTTTTTTTTACAAATTTATGTCAATTGTCGAGAAGTTTTCAATGAATAATTATTCGTTTAAATTGAAATTAAACTGTGCTAAAATTTCTATCCATGTTAGAAACTAAAAGGGCAATTTTTGATACTGTATTTTAGAATAACGCGTTGTTATATTTATTTTATTTATTTATTTATATTGTATTAAATGAAGTGACACTAAAATGTGTGATAATAAACAATTATTTATCGAAATACATGGAAATGTTTCAAATTTTAATTTAACTGTACATTATAATATTTATGTTATATTGTTAATTAATTATATATTGTTTAATTATTAATTAATTATATAATTTTAATTTTTCGACAGTTATAATTAAAATTTGAATGAATATAATTCTTCATATCAGAAAAATGTATGCATGGAAAATAAGTTTGCGCATATATTGCAACTGATATTACAAACAAGATTTACATAATATTATTGTTATATTGTCGATGTAATTAAAAAGAAGTCAATGAATATTAATATTCATATTAAACGATGTATCTTTCGCATAATTAACGAATGTTTAATTAAGTTCCAATACACATTAATCTTTCCTTTTGTATTATCATGATAGTGATTAAATTGACCCACTCTAAATAATTGCTATAATTTGTGAAATTTTGGCAACTACAAATATTTAGTGTAATTTTATAATTAAAGACAACTGAAAAGATTCCTAAATTGAAAAAATACATATTTGGTGCACAGTATTTGTTATTTATACATATCTTCTATATTTATTGTTATACTTATGTATTTACTAATTAGGAACTGTGTATTTCATAATCGTAAATATATATTATGAAAACATTTTCACGTTTAATAATAAAACTAATATATATTTAATTAAATATCTGAAGTATGATAACAATTTATTAAATAATATCCAAAACAATCTTAATGATATATATAATGTACATATTTTTTTTATCTTATATGTATATATATTTTACATACATTATATATTAGATATAATAATTATACGTATATAATGCTCTATAGGCATTTAATCGAACAGTTATATACTTGCAAATAATTTATTAGTGTCGAAATTTTTATATCTTTTCTTTTTATGATATGTATTATCATCCTTAGTCAATACATAGACGAGGTATATACGTAGATACTTCGTGTGTGAATAGCATTGCATTTTATGGTACTTTGTACCCCACGCTCTGAAATACCGACGTAGTAAAAAACCAGTGGTTTTTAGCGCACTCTACGCTTAATAACGGCGAATTGGAGAACTACATCAAGTGAAATGATCGAGGTTGACTAAATGAGCGAGGGACATTATTTTTGAAATTTAATGCCACAGACGATGTATATGTCGTTTGTGCCGTTACAGTATATTTACAACTTTTTTTATGAATTATAGATACAATAGCAAATAATAAATACTAATTTAAATTTAATTAAAAATATTCCTTTATATTATTTCACAATTAAATATTTGTTAATTAAATAATTTAACAACAGCGTTAAATTGTAATTTATTACTTGCTTTTGTTTACTTTGCATAAACTGCAAACAATTGCAAAACGAACAGTTGTGCAAACACATAGGAGAATAATAAAATCCTGTAGGTAGTAGAAATTCTGAAAGTACATTTACAGGGATTTTCACACGATAATATTGTGCAATATTGAATTATACTGAAAGTACAGGCGCGCTTGAATTGTTATTTTGTCCCACGTTAAAAATGCAGGAAATAGGCACGAAAGAAATAAATCGAGCGTCCGATAATAAAAACACCGCCGTCACAATACTGTTAAATTAAACAAATAAAACGTAGGGGGTGTGGTCGCGTGTTAGGTCTATCCCTAACGCTTCGTCACGTGTCATCCGAGCAAACAGACACATTCAATTGCAGAATCTGCAGGATATCATCAGCTGTGCATTGTGCATGGAAAAGAGAATCCCACGAAACACCCCACAAAAGCAGAATCGCGTAAAAAAAGGGGACATACGCATATATGGCAGACCATATTTAATTATGGTTGACTAACATCTTGTTACCTCCTAAAATATGGTTATCGAAATGGAAATAACTCTAGAATTTCTAAGGGAGAGACGTTGTTCGAACGCACAAGTTGGAAAACGTTAAATTAAAATTATTTCCTTTTCGTAAAGTTCTAAAAAATTTATTCATTGTTATATAGATGTTTAAGTTTAATATTTGAAAGTCCTCATTATTATATGCGACGAGTACTTTGCAGAACTTTTACAAAAATGAATAAAAGATAATTTTTATTTTTATCTTTTTTTTAAAGTAAGAATTATTTTAGAGTTAGTATAAATATCTATCTATTGCGCAAATGAAATTTTTTGGTAAACTAAAAATTTTGTTATATTTAAACTTCTATTTTTATTTATTCTGATTTTTAATTGACTCATAATTAATTAACTCAAACATTATTTTGTAATTAGTTTGTGAATTAATCAAAAATGAGCTAGAAAATAGAAATTTAAATACAACAGGATCGATAAAAAATATCATACATGTAATAGAGATTTTCACAGAATAAAACCGCAAATAATACTAAGAAAAAAAAAAGATGTGTTAATGGAAGTCAAAAGCAAAGAAATTAAATATAATAGTTTATCTAAACCCAAACAAAATTGTTCTGAAAGCATATATGAATAAAGAATGTCAATGAATATTTTATTCTGCCATACCTGTTTAGCTCATAATTCATATTCATCATTGAACCATTGGAAACAATAACAGTTTAAAATTAGACTACTAAATTTTGGAATTTTTCATTTATTTCAATTTTATTATTTTTATTATTCTTATCATAGAGGAATGATATAAAATAAAAAATAAAATGAAAAATCGTAAATTTTAGTAATATAAATTATTATAGCCATTTGTAAGAATAATTCCTTTTATTAAGAAATGAGAAGAATATCAATACGTTGAGCGATCAGGCTAGTATGTTGTTAAAAGATATATCTATTATTTTACGATGCAAATTTATTGAAACATACATAAATGAAAATAAATTTGATGTAAAAATATATACTATTTTGTCTAAGATCTATAATATAATAAGACGTTTTATAAAATTTTTATTAGCGAACAATTTTTTTCAGAATAAATATGTAAGAAGTGTAGATTCAGAGGCTTCTTCTTCAATAATTTACATAATAGCTCGAGGCTTATGAATTCATTGTAACGAATAAACTACTGATTCTTATGCAAATTTATATTCTTAAGAATCTAATAAAAAGTATAGAACTTTAATAAAAAAAATTTACATAATAAAAATTACGTGAAGTATCCGAAATATTTTCTACAACATTCAATACGTAAACACATGACATAAAAAACTATATGAAATATCCAGAATATAACACTTTCTGTAAAACATTGTTCATATTTTTACATCTTCCTATAGATAAATGCATAAAAATACGCGATCTAGACTATTTATGTATTTTAATGAATCTGACAGAAATGAGGCCCAAATAAATCTATTAAATCTTCTTTCAAACATAATAAATACCACAGTTTATATATTTTTACACACTACGTGCATTGTGTGAATTTTCGAATTTCTCACAAGCGCATAAAAATTCGCAGTCTATCAATAGACCATGATACCTGCGACGATCAAGCAGCACGGTGAGAAATTTTCTATCACCTCGTAGAACAAGTTTGTATTTACTTACTACCATCTTCTCATTAGCACCTGACAGTTAGCCGTTTAGAGGCGACGATGAGATTCCGTTTTTCTCTCCTAGGAATAGGTGTTCCCTCTAATCAAGCGGAATCACTAGCTAGATAGATTAAAACGCGGTGTAATCTGAATCAAGATCTAGATAGGCAGGCAAGGAACCACCGCCGGAGAGCCGACAGGTCTCCTTTCAAATTTATCCGGCTATCCTTTTCGTCTCTAACTGCTCTTACACACGAAATAAAGCGAAAGACAGACAACGAAGAGAAACAAGGAGAGGGCGAATTCTGCGTACGAGGAGCGGCAGAAGAGAGGATGGCGCGAGCGTCTCTCGAGGGCCCGAGTATCCGCGTGGGCCCTTGGTTCCTGAGCAACACCGGCCCCTAATAACAGGGTACACCGAGGCTAAACAAACATACACGCCCCTGGCATCTCTCGTTGAAAGAACACACGAGAAGAAATGTAAAACAAAACAGAGAAGAAGGAGAAAAAAAACGGGCAAAGGAAAAAGGAAAGAGCAGAAACAATTTAGCCACGCCACTTAAAGGATGCAAGGTGAAGTATGATAGGTACTGAAAGATTCAACAGAGAAAATCATGGGAGTATACTTATATACAGCGTGCCTCGTTTCGCTGAAGTTATACGTCGTTCGTAAATTTTAATCCATCAGATAATAGAGGCAAAAAAGGGGCGAACGCAGGGAGTACAGGAATCTCGATTCTGATATTTATTAAAATTACGGTGCTGCAATTTCGAGGGATGCATGCTTTGCTCGAACAACTGACAGAACACGATATACTTATCAGAAGTAAGGAGAAATATGCTGAGCGTAAAATGTCGTCGATAAATTGTTAATGTAAAACGTTACGGCAAACTTTTTCTAATTGCAGTCGTGAATAACGAACGTCTGCTTTGCCTGTTCGTCTCTTAATATCTGGCGATTTAATACGAAATGAAGAGAATGCATATCGTCTTCGATAATCGATTCGATGAATCCATTCAGTAGCAAGTTTAATTACGTAATGAATTCATTGTTCAAGTTCTGGTAATTGATTCTCAGCCGACGAGAAAAAATCAGGCCACGTTGAGAAACTTGTTCGCGATTCTCAGTTATGCAAGAGAAATTTAGTGTAGTTAATATTGTAGCAAGATTTAAATGATCATTGTTACTACTAAATTTAAAGATAAAGACACATTCAGAACATAGTATTTGTAACATTTAACATTTAATAAAATGGACTTTTGCTCGAACTGGGTTTATAAAAATATAATAATATGAAAATACATTTTTAATATCAATGGTGATTTTTTTTATCTGGCTAGTATTTTAGCATATATATTGCGTACAGGAAATGAACATACATACTTGTTTTGTTACTTTTATAATTAATTAATTATACAAAAGTATTTATCGATTAAATACGCACATTCTATATAGGAAATTGACACATCGTTATAGAATGGATATAGCTAACAAATATACAGTAAATAATTTATTTTTTAATCAATGAATTGTAC